TCAGCAGGTGTAGAACGAAGATGACTATCTAAATCAGGTGAAAGGATATTGAAACATAGAAGCAAAAGAAGAACCTAGTTTTTTATCTTTTATTACTCGAGAAAAACAATATGGAATCCAATAAAGACTCTATTTTCAAATTGTTTGCATTTAAAAAATGTTACACAAGGATTTAAATGTTTAGAAATTTATAAACTAAATAAATTACTCGATACAAATTTATAAAATGAATTACATTATATTATTTTATATTATATTTCTCATAACCGTGTTATTTTGTTTTACAATTTAATTTATAATTGATTCTATTTTGTATAAATAGTACATCCGACTAGGTTTACTTTTAAACAAGCTTGAGATGACAACATACATTTAACTCGTTATTTTAATAGAACGTTAATTTGTTATGTTAATACAATGAAAAAATTTGTTATATTACATTATTTCTATTTACTTCTAAACCAATATCCATTCTGAATTTATATTTTAGGTTGTTAAAATTTTAAAAAGTTGCGAATGTGTTTGAAAAATTTATAAAAATCATACTCAATAATAAATAACCGATTATGTTGTATATTTGTATTCTTTTTATATCCCTCTTTTGTTAGATATTTTGTTTTTAATGAGATGCATGTTCGGTTTGAACGAAGTTGGAAATAATGTGCTGATCCATCGGAGCAAAATTTATGGATAATAAGAAACTGCTGCACCAGGGTAAGGTAAAACGTTATATACAGAATATTGCGTGCAAGGTATAAACTTATCCAGGTATGGCGCGTGGCAGCGTCAAATTTCTGAAACACCTCCCCAAAAATCCAGCATCTTTTACCAAGTTATGGAACGTGCAGGTTGGTTTCAAGTTTCGAGTTCAATTACCTAGAAACATTTCAGTATAGTCCACAGAGTTTTAAGTATTCTGCACTTACCATATTGAAACGCTTCAATTGCTTTGAACTACCAATAATCAACTACATATTATGTTATAATTAATAATAATTTAACAATATAACCTTGCTTTTATGTGTAATTTAATATAAATATTCCTAACAAATATAACGTCGATACATTGAATGGAGCCAAAAATGAAATTTGTTATTGGGACCCAGGAGGAGTACAGACAGTTGGTGTTTGTTGAAAGAACTATACAGATAATCAAGTTCGCGCGAGGTACTCGTGACTACCCAGCAACCCCTTGACTGTAGTATTTTCGACCAAGGAGTCTTCACCCTGGACTAAGACGACACAGTCGCTTCACCACTTACGTTGACACAAAGCCAGAGGTACTGAGTTGAAAAAACTGACACCAGGCACCAATTCTTCAGACCTACGATTAGTATTTATTAAAGGGTATCCATTCATAAGCATTTTTTATGAATTGGTGACTGATAAACAAGAATTCAGTATGTTTTTAAAACATTTAAATTTTGTAAGTTTCAATTCCCTTAATTATAAACGTGATCAATTTGGCTGCACATTTCAGTAGTACACCCCTGCTCCATGGTGTCGAGGCGTTTTGGTGGGAGGCAGCCACGTGATCGAGCGCGTGTTCAACAATAACAGCTGCACTGTTGCTGTTCCCTCAATTCACGCTCAGCCTCCGTAGAAGTCGGATCTTTGCTTCATGAAATTTGTTAAGTGTAAAACGTCTTTACCTGTCAAGAAAAGCAAAAATATCTTCCAATCATCTCTTATCACGAGAATTAGTTAAACTGTTTAATCGAAATAACTTAACCCACATCATAAACATTCGTGAAAATTTGTTGAGTTAACCTATCGTAGATTCGATCGAACAATTCGATCGATCAATTAGAAGAGTCGGGTCGGGCCGTGAACCAGGCCGTGCCGTGATCGATAAAGTATATAATCGCGTACCCGGGTCGTGGACCGTGGAAATCGGATTTTAAGCGTCTCGTTCGAAAATAGAACGGGACTCTCGACTGGTGTTCGTGATCGATGTGCACCTGCAAGGAATCGCGTGGGATGCTGTAAGCCGAGGCGATTGCCGGCTAACATCACAGCTACTTCGACGTGAAACGTATCGAGAGAGAACGATAAGCGGAGGAGGATGCTTCCTGCTCGAAGATTAATCGTTGCCGTGTTTGGTGTTTGCTTGCTGACCGCTCTCCTCGAGGTAAGAGAACATTTATGGTTATATAAGTGCATTTAATAATTCATTTGACCCATTCATGAGATTTTTAAAGGTTATGACTCTTACTCCCTTCTTCATTGTCATCTATTATAAAAAAGTCAGGGGTAATAAATTGATGTCGAATGAAATAAATAATATTGAATTTTATAGAGATTTTTAAAACTTTGATCGAGATTTAATTTCGATAATTGCAGAGAAGTTAATATATCTTAATTAGGGTAGTCGGATAGTCTCTATCGAATAATACTATAGCTACATACATGTAATGTATACGGGTAATAGTTTCTTAGGATAATATGGGGTAGGACAAAGTTTAATATCTTAAAAGTTTATTAACGCAAAGTTTTATCAATATGAATTACCAAAATACATTTACTGTACGCATTACGTGAACATGCGACATTCCACTACGTTTTTTTTACTATCAAACAAAATATTGGCGTTCTTTCATCTCTGCATGCCCTTTACTTATTATACTTTAGAATTGTGTATTTTATTCGACTGGCTTGACAGAGATTTTCCATTCGTTGACATAATTCTGATAGAAGCACTCGCAGGAGCGTTCCTAAAAGTAGCGCGAAATTAAAAAATTTTAATTACGCAATTTGCATAATATTTTTACTGATTGATATATTTTTGTTTTGCAAAATTTCTTAAATATTATTTATATCACATAGATGAGAAAGATATATGTTCTGTTTTACTGATTTTCTGTTTTTGGCGTTACTTGGTGACTAAAAGGGAGTATTTTAATATTATATATCTGGGAAAAGGAATGACCTGGTAGATCCAAAGATAAATTCCTTTTAAATATAGATACCAAATCCACGAGTATGTGTAAAAAGACATCAGCATAAATAATAAATAATAATAAATAAATAATGCTATGATATTTTTCATATTAATATTATTCAATATTTTTGAATAATATCAATACTTTTATCAAATAATTTTGAAATGCTTAAGGGGATGATAAAAATATACTTAATTTTAACAATTAATGTTCTTGTTGAATGTAAAAAATATTTCTGTGTAAGAAGCTTATAATTATCAGATAAGGGATAACTTGGTTTTTACCGTTTATAAGTTGCTTTTGAAATAAGAAACGAATAGTGTGATAAAATTACTTTCCTTAACAGATTACAATTTTTAAATTCGTACCTTTCACATCTGTGTAACTCTCTAGGGTAATATTTCATGCATTTCCAACCGCTTTATGCAGTCGTGATAAGCTGCAAGCTAGATCAAGTCAATCCTCTATACATAGGTACGTTCGAAGAATAAAGAAACACAGAAGGCAGAGAATAAATCTCCATTGAACACGTTCGCCTTACGGAACCGAATTAGCATTTAATCCGGGTTACCATGCTTCAATTATCTTACTAAATATTATGAAACGTATTTATATTTGCCAATCAAGAAGCTTAAGATATTTCCATGCTGTTAATCTTCTTATATAATATTATACATATTTATAATTCCATAAATAAATAGGGTGCCAGATAACTATAATATATACAGGATCTTAACACTGTATTTCAATATAACATGATACATTTTCATGTTCATTATATAATTATTCAAAATACAGGGAATCAGAGACAGACGTGTGCCCGGATATACATGTATGTCCTATTTACCGCGTATAACCTCAAAATCAAACAAATTGACAATTGACAAATAGTAAAACGATATTGGATTTTAAAATTATTTTCCCATAAAGAATCCAAAACTGTAGCTGATCATGTTCATTCTCTCCAATTTTCAACGAAAAATACAATTATCAAACGAATGTAGAAACATTCGTAACGCACATTAAATTCGACAAGAAGAATAACATCCAGTCATCCCCTCCCTTACCGACCGAATCGAGACATGCGCGCGTCGTATCGATACAATGTTCGACCACTGCCTCGATTTCAGTGAGACTGCGTTTATACGCAGCAGGACACGATTTACGATCGGAACAGGATGAATTGCGTAAGGAGCACAACGGCGATCTTGAGCCATGGAGGAAACGATAATTCTCGACAATTACAGTTCGTCGGTAAATATCTAAATGGAAATCGATCGGTGTAATGAAAGGAAAGCGCGGTCACGGAATCAAATGTTCAAAACCTCGTAGGCTCGTCCCTTCTACCGAATCGGTGGATTATCGGTTTCGTGGGATAAAAATTCGCTGCTATCTCGTTGCGCTCGGGCTATCGCAATTTTCTCCGTGCTGGTGGCAATTAGGAATCGAACGGTGGCTAATTTTATGGAACTATACAAATAAAATTAAAATATAGTTTTTTTTTTAACAAATTATACAGATTTAATTAAATTTTTAAAATATATATTGTAGAGTAGTAGTATGGTAATTAATATCATTGAAGAAGACCAAAGAAATGATATGTAATTACATTATATATACACTATGTCATTTAATTCTAATTTTTGTATATGAAATTATTAATAAATTGTTTATTGTATGAAAAAAATTATACAGACAGAAATTGTTTGATATCAAAGAGAAAATACAATGTAAATAATTGTTTTATTATTTCGCCTTTTTATCAAGATATACACCCCCAAATAGCTTTTTATTGCACTATTTTTTCGAATCGTATGGCTAAATTTTATGTATATTATAGTTAAAAAAATTTATTTAAATAGAGACTGGGATTTTTTTAAGAAAATTTGTTAATAAATTGCATTTCATATTTGTCATTCAGAAACTATTTCTTTTCATACTTCCAAGTCTATTCTTCTCTCTTCTAATGCAAGCTTCTACAGAGTCGCAGCATTATGTTCTTGATGTCAGCTGATCCGATTTTGCAGTAAGACATCTTAGTTCATCCAAATGTTCTTCACGAGACAGAAACAGACGCCTGACCAATCTTATTACGAGGATTTCCCCGTAGACTATCAATAATCAAATATATTTTTATGCGTCCCGTCTCACGTTGTGTGACTTTGAGAATCCAGCTTAAAAAATAAATATGTTATATGTAAAATTTTCATTATTTATATATTATTCTATACAATTTTATATAAATCATTACAAAAGATTTTTTCAAACTTCGTAAATTCTTAATTTCAATTTTAAATTTCCCGCGTCAATCCCATATATATATATAAATACAATTCAAACCCAACGTTTTTCGTATCTTTAAAATTCCAGTAAATCTTAATTCTTTACGTGTACCTAATTATCTCATTTAAAAAGAGTTAATTAACAAATAAAAAAAAGAAATTGCAAGAAAATAAATTTCAGAATCCCAAGATACAAGTTACTTTACGTAAAACCATGAAAACGATTACCCGAGCCTCCGCCATCCAGTAAGAAGCGAACCGACGAAAATAAATAAAACCGGTGAAAAAAGACGAATTTGAAGACAGTGGGGGAGACAAGATAGGCGCCTGATCCCCTACACGTCTGTGAATTTTCGACCGCCTCCTATGGGCTAATTATCGTTGAAGAAATCATTGGTGATAGATAAAATCGGCTCTCACAGGTCTCGTTAACGACAGTCGGAAGAACAGTGAGAATGGCGGAGTGGGGCGGGACCCGAGTCGACCCGAATTGAGTCGAGTTCATACGAGTTGACTCGAGCCTGCACGAGTCGATTCGAGTCGATTCGAAGGAAAGCAAAAGAGTGGAAAGAAGAAGAGGAACAGGAAGGCAGCCCTTTATTTCAAGTCCGTGTGTGCATGCATTTATGCATTAGGATTCAGGCCGAAAGGTCGACGTACAGCGGAGATAAGGTTTGCGAGGGGTGACTCGGTGAGCCTGGTGAAAATACGCGTCGGGGAAATTAACGAAAGCTCGCGAAACGGAAGCGGGGTAGGGGGCGCTGGCGGCGTGAAGCGGAAGCCGGAACGCGGACGCGGGAGAAAAGTGGAAACCGAGTGGAACAACAACAATCGCCTGGGGAGGGAAACAAAAGGAGACACGCGGAAACGGAATAGAACATTAAACGAAAAACAGAAGAAAAGATCAAAAAGGAGGCTGGATGTCGTGCACCGATGTAAACAGTGTGCATAAGCGAGCCAACTAGAAAGAAATAGCTTTTTCTTCTTTCTTTTGAGTTTTGCTTTTTGAATGATCATCCACTGCTATCCCTCTTTACGAAATTTTTGTTCTTCTTATATAGTGAATAGATCGATTTGACTTATGTTTGAAAAGGATTTATACTATGTTTTTTAAATAGCACCATATGTATGTTTTTGTTATTTAAAAATTTTATCATCACTTTATGGTAGCTTTCTTGACTTTGTTTTTAAGATCTGTAAAGAAAATGGTGAGAGAAGATAATAAGCAGTATTACATATCTTTAACAGATTTTCTAATCTCTTAAATTGTAATAGGAATTTAGTAAGGGCACTACGTTTCGTACAGTCCAAATAAAAGATTTTTCATTCTACTTTTAAAACGAAAAATGTTTTTCACAATAAACTTTCGTAAATTACTGCTATCACGTAGGGTGAGTTACGGGACTGGAACAAATTACAGCTTTTGTTTTGCTGAAAGTAAAAAAAGAGTCAAGCAATGGTAAAAAAAAAAGAAAAAAAAAATAAAAGGTTTAACCTATTTCAAGATTTACCTTTTACGTGAATGCAACGATACACCGAAAAGATACGGTGGGCGAATAAAAGATAAAAAAAATACGGGAACCGGAAAAATACAGGAAACTGATTCGCAAAATAGAGATGTTATTCGAAAATAGTCATAGACACAGGAAAATTTTAATGCATTTTAAATTCACAAACTCAATAAGCATATTAAAAATGTTACACAAAAAGTTCCTCTCTGTCCCCCAAAAAATTAAATAAAAATTTATACGTAACTCTTCTATTAACGAATAATGAAAATAATATTCTTTCGTTTCTAATCATTTTTTATTAATTAATACTTATTTTGTTCTAATGCCCCAAGAAAAATGACGAAAAAAACAGTTATCAAATTATCGTACATAATCGATACATGTATCGATTACTCA